CGAGGCTACCACCGGCATTTTCCCCCAGCTGAGCAGCGGGGCTCCCGCTCAGCTAGGGGGAAATGCCCCCTCCGAAGGGGAATCCCGGCGGTGGCCTTGGAACGACCCTTCGGAAGGGTCCTTCCGAGGCTACCACCGGCATCTTCCCCCAGCTGAGCAGCGGGGCTCCCGCTCAGCTAGGGGGAAATGCCCCCTCCGCAGCGGTTTAACCACTGCGCCACGAGGTGCCATGGTTTATCAAGGTAAAAGAAGTAGGAAGAAATAGAAAGAAACAGCAAGGAGAAAGAAGAAATAGAAAGACAGTCAAACCAATAAAGATGCAGAGAAAACAGAGGTAATCAGAACGATAGGGAGAAGCCACAAACTGATCAACAGATTTAATTGGATTGTGTCGTCCACCATTAAACTGTCATTTAGCAATTCTGCAGTTGTCCTATATCAGCAGTGAAGAATCCTTATCCCTCCAGATGTTTTAGAATTCAAGAAGACCCAACTGGTGAGATCAGCAGTAAGGGACAGTGGGAGTTACAGTGTAAACATCAAGAGGACCAAAGATTCCCCAGTCCTTTCCTGTGAGACTCATTCAGTATACAGTGGTGCTTCGCTTAACAGGTGCTTCGTTTAGCGATGAAACCACATAGCAATTAAGTTTTTGTGATCACAAAAGCGATCACATTGCGATGTTTCCTATGGGGTTTTATCGCTTTGCGATGATCGGTTCCCTGTTTCGCTTACCAATCATCGCAAAGCGATGATTTTTAAACAGCTGATCGGTGGTTCCAAAATGGCCGCTGGGTAAAAAATGGCCGCCTGCTGTGTTTTCACGCCAATTCCTCGCTTAAGAGGCAGCGAAAATGGCCGCCGTATGGAGGATCTTCGCTTTAAGGTCAGTTTTTTGCCCATAGGAACGCATCAAACAGGTTTTAATGCGTTTCTATGGGCTTTTTACAATCGTATAGCGACGAAAGCACTTAGCAGTGATTTTTGCTGCACGGATTAACGTCGCTACGCGAGGCACCACTGTATTTATTCTCCTCCCGGCTCATGCATGTCAGTGTCTTTATGTATTTATTTTTACCCATTAATTTTCACATATATTCACATTTTAAGTGACCACACAAATGGTTTTCTTGTAGAAAAATACTTTCAGATGCAACAGTGAATTGGCCTATGCAATCTGATATTCATTTTAGCGCTTATCAGGCTTGGTCTCTAATGGTGTCATTTTCTTTCATATCTCTGAGGTGATTGAAATGCCATTCTTTAAAGTGAAATGTCCTAAACCAGTGTCTGGCAGTTCCTATTAGCTGAAGAGCATCACAAACAGTAACAAGGTCTCCAAGGACCAGTTTTCTTGCAAGCTGCGTAGTCGTATTTTCTCATTAGTTCATTTCAGTTGTCACTAATGCCATGTTCTGGGCTTTTGCAAAGTAGACCAAAACATAAAAACTGTGTATGCATGTTGAACAGACAATTATTTTTCATAATTCAAGGTCCCTTTGAATCCATTTGACATACCATGTACTTTACACAGTTTAATTAATTAACCTTTATATCAATTCAACACAGAATGGTAGAAAGATTGCTCCTAGGAAGAGTGTATAAATGGTAATGTACCATATAAAAGTCTTTTAAACTTGGGTTTACATTACTTGCTTTGCAGCCACTGTATACATAAATGCAGAAAACCACAAAAAATAATTTGTTGAAATGTTTAAATATATATAAAATGCAAGTGTTGATCTTAAAATATTTTACCAGCATATGTTGTCAGGGGAAAAATGAATACAGTATGTATGATAGTTTATTTTTCAATATATTGTAGTTTTCTTGCAACAATATACAGGAGCAATGAAAACAGTGACTTCTAGGTGGATTGCTGTACCTTAGATTGTACTTAATTTGTGAATGTTTTCCATATATTTTTATAGCTGGAATCCTGTTGTTCTTTTCTGTGTGTAGTAACCAAAATAAGCCAGTTGGACAAGGTATATCCCCTGCCACTTTGCACTACTGTAACTGCCAGCTGGGGACTGCTTGAGAATGGCAGAGTGTTGGCCTTCAGAGAGGTTATGTTTCCAAGCCTCCATTGGTGGCTTGGGAAACTCCCTCCCCTTCGGGGGGGGGGGGTGACTCTCGCAGCAAAGAGTGAGGTTCATAGCTTGGGGGTCCATCTGGATCTGGCGCTCCCCATGGAAACCCAGGTGGCCGTCAGTGCTCCTCTCCGCCTATTTCCATCTGTGGCAGATTGCCCAGCTGCGTCCCTATCTTGATGGCGCGGCCCTCACCACTCTGGGCCACACACTTGTAATCTCGGGATTAGACCACTGTAATGCTCTCTACGTGCGGCTACCTTTGAGATTGATGCAGAAGCTTCAAATGGTGCAGAATGCAGCAGCTAGATTACTTAGTGGAAGAAGAAAACATCAGCACATTTCCCCCACACTGGCTGCCTTGCATTGACGGCCTATTTGTTTCCACATTGATTTCAAAGTGTTAATGATGACATATAAAGCCCTAAATAGTTTAGGACCTCGATACCTAGCAGATCGCCTTATCCCACCTAGATCTACTCGAGTCACTCGCTATAGCCAGGAAAGGTGGCTGAGGGGCCTAACGCTGAGAGAGGCCCGGAAAGAAAGAACAAGAAACCAGGCCTTCTCGGTAGTGGCCCCTCGCCTTTGAAACAACTTGCCATCAGAGATCTGCCTGGCACCCTTGCTGGGTGTTTTTAAGAGCCAATTAAAGACTTGGCTCTTTAGGCAGGCCTTCCCTCCTGTCAACACTTGACTCTTACTTTTACTTAGTCTGTTGTTCTTTTTTCCATATTGATCAATACTAACATTGTCAATTTAATTCATGGTTTTAACTTTTTTATGAATAATTTTATTGTGAGCCGCCCTGAGTAGAAATAGTCTAGAAGGGCGGGATAAAAATCTAATAAATAAATAAATATGTTCTACCATTACAAAAATTTGTGAGCCTTGTTTCTTTTGTTTTCACAATAAAGCAATGACAACTTTGTAGAGAAGTTGCAGGATGGCACAATAAGTGGTTAATGGTATATGTTGCTACTCTTCATTGGCAGGCTAAGTGCTTGACGGTAAATTAATGATTTTTCTACTGGAAAGGCTTGCTGAAGATCTGAAATTGCTAAAATGTACACAACAAAGTAGTTTATATAATAAAATCTATAATAAAATATGTAGCATACAAAACATAAATAGTAAAATCCATAAGACAAAACAAAATTATTATGCTTGTTTATTTTTGGATATACATTCATTCCATTTTCATATATTTAGGGGAAAGTAGGTAAAATAGAAAAAAATACTATTTTGTTTGAGAAGCCAACAAAGGCCTTGAAATTTAAATCTTCATTCTAATCAAGGCAGCCAAGCCCTCAACAAGCTAATTATTGCATGTTTCTAGAACTAAATATCTGTGCTCTATTTACAGACTATAATTTCATACTGTGATGTTTGTTGACATATGTAATAATCATTGTGAATATTTAGGAATGAATCGAGGGTATTATTTATATTTAAATCCAATTCAGTCACACATTGGCTAAAATGTTTATATTTTCTCTGTGTGTAGAGCATTGTATGTTGTTTGTCTTTTTATTCTAATTGCTTAAGGCAGGGGTCCCCAACCCCCGGTCCATGGCCCGGTGCTGGTCTGTGGCTTGGGCCGGACCGAGCCATGGAGACAGATCTCCCACCCAACCTTCATGCACTCCCACCCCCGCACAGCCCATTTGCACATGCGTGTGAGTGCACGCGAGTGCCCTCTCACCCCTTTGCAAGTGTGCAGGAGTGTCCCCTAAGCACCACTCTGCCCTTTGTGCCTGTGCATGCGCAAGTGCATACCCATTCATGCACGCACACACACAAACGTGCACCTTTTACTTCACACATGCATGCGAGCGTGTGGGGGGGTGCCCCACCTTCCCCAACTGGTCCGTGGACTTAAAAAGGTTGGGGACTGCTGGCTTAAGGGATGTTCACTAACCCATTGTCTATGCATAATCCCTGTTATTTATAGCGTGGTGAGCAACAGCTATCATAAATACAAACTGGGGATCTGTGGAGCAATGACAGTACTTTGCTCATGGAGCAATTACTCTTCATGATTGCTAAAAGCATTCTGATTAACATTTTAGTATCCAGCATTTTCTACTCATTCATAAGAGCTTGTATAATATTTCAGAAATAAAGATATGCTCAGACAAAATTGATTTTGTCAAAATTGAAACTGTCAGTAAAATATTTATTTTACTTGCAAGTAATTCACTTTCAAAAGTAAATATATAATGGTTGAAATCCTGTTGTGTAGTTACACAAATAGTGAAATTTTAGAGAAAAGTTGCCATAAGTTAGGAAATCTCCATAGACCTTATCTGTTGCATGCAGTGTTGTATGACTCTGTCCCACTTGTGAAAACAGTTCATTATGTAGAGACATGGAATAAGGCTTTCTTTCCTATAGCACTCTGACTGTGGAATGCCCTTCTCGTGGAGACCATTGGTACTACTAACATTGGCATCATTTGGATGCCAAGTTAAAACATACCTATTAGAGCCTTTCATGGTTGAGGATCATGACCTGTGCAGGTTTTAATGCAATGGTTTTAATGTCTCATTTTTAATCTTGTGTTTTAAACTAATTGATTTTAAATTGTTTCAAATATCTTATGTTTTAAAATGTTTTTAAATCATTTTATATAATTCTGTAAAACTGAATAAATGTTTAAAATAAATCAATAATGTGTATGGAGATTTCTCAGTTTATGGCAGTTTGCGTCCACAGGTTGTGCCATTTGCATAACTGTGCAACATTTCAGCTAGTATATTTGAAATCTTTTAATATATTTACTAAGGAGTGAAATTTTAATTCCATCCATTACCTACTGCCATTCTAAAAGTCCAGTAGCAAATAATATTTCAGTAAGGTAACATATGTATAAGAACTTTTAATCCAGATTTGTCTGTATTCCAGATGTGTGGAGGTAATTGCTAAAGAAGGACAGAACTTGAAAGAACTTTATTTGGTGTCATGTAAAATCACAGACTATGGTAAGTAATACTGATTTATTCTTTTTCTTTAAAAGGTCTTTAAAAATTGTTTATGGTTCAACCTTAGAGATTTCTTCTTTTTTATAATATATAATAAATGTGAAAATACATCATTTCAAAACTGGTTTGAAATCAGTTGTAATATGAAAACAATTAAAATGATGGTTTTAAAAGATAGACCCCATAATGTTAAACAGCTAGTTTCTCTACTTTTTAATGAATAGTGAACGCTGAATATTAAATATTGCAGCATTTCTTGAAGTTCATATGGTATGTTTTATGTACATGCCAAAATAAAATGCTTATCACAGGAAATCTATAAAAGTGACATGCTCCTCAATTCAGTTATTACAAACTGGTTTATTTGAGGTTCTAGATGTACAGGTGAACCATGGTTTTAGCCATGGTTCACCTGTACCATGTACCATGTACTTGTCTCTGGTGAAGGAGCAATAGGTTTAACTGGTTTGTCAATTTAGATATTGTGCTTATTTTTAGTTAAATTTCCTCAACTATAAGGTGGTATAATTTCTAAATTGAATGATTGTTCTTCTTTGTGGCCTCTGTGAATCACACTCTGGGTGATCCGCGCATGCACGGAGTCTCATCAGAATATTCTAGAGCTTCTGCGATAAAAAAAGATATATTAGTACAACCCCCTCCCCCCAGTATATGTACCTCGGCTGCCTTTACCATCAGTGTCACCAACTATCAAGTGGTTATAGGCACCTACCAACGCTTCTTATGGGACAATGTGTCTACCCTGATAGAGATACTGCCTGGTGATAAAAGGGTTCTAGCACAAACCTTTCAGCAAGAAGGCCTCCCAGTGGCTGAACAACAAATGTTGGCAGCACACCACACTGTGGATGCCACATCAAAGTCTATGGCCACCTCTGTAGTACTTCACTATTTCTCCTGGCTTAGGATAGCTGGCCTTGCAGAGGATGCCCGCGCCCATATCAAAGACTTCCCCTTTGATGGTGTCAGCCTTTTCAGTGCTGAAACAGATGACTTTTTCAGAATATATAAAATAAATGAACAGCTGCCAGGAGCTAGGGAGTTTACTCCACATAACAACAGTGCACACAGTGCACACAGTGGTGTTGTCCCTACACCTCCTGTCAGAGGTTTCAACATGAACCTCTTTGGCAAATAACCACTTACTCCTTACTACAAACAGCAGTCCTATTGCACCAAGACCCGGCAGCAAACTACACTCAGACGTGACAACCGTAAACCTAAGCACCAGGTTTGACATCAAATCGGACAAGTCTGTTCTTCCACTGCGCCACAGGAAAGACTGATTTGCAGTAATCGACTTACGAGATTCCTTCTTCCACATTTCCATCAATCCAGCTCACAGGCCTTACCTGCAGTTAAAGCTAGGTGTTCAGGCCTATACATTCAAAAGACTCCCATTTGGGCTCGCCACAGCCCCCCGGGTATTCACCAAATGCACAGCCCCCATAGCAGCATACCTCAGGCTGCAGGGCATTCAAATCTTCCTGTACATCGACGACTGGCTTCTCGTAGCTCACTCTTGCCTCAAAGCACAGCGTGACATCCATTTTACTCTAACCTTTCTTCAAGATTTCAGCCTTGCAGTAAACCTGCAAAAATCTACCCTAGTACCTACCAGATGTATCCATTACATTGGAGCCTACCTGGACTCTGACAAAGCCGAAGCATTTCTCCCAGATGACAAATGTTTCAACTTAATCTCTCTGGTTGGCACCTTCATCCCTCACACACTTGTTTCTGCATTGACGGTTCAACATGTCCTCAGCATGATAGCCTCTGTAGTTCAGCCCACCTGTCTAAAGATGAAATCCCTTCAGGCATGGTTTCTGACTCTGTTTGATCCACTCCTTGACCCACCACCTGCCCTCTTACATGTCACTCAAAGCTTCCCTCCCAACTCTCATGACGGTTCTCCAAACAAAACCTGACAATGGGACGACCCTTCCAGCAGCCCATGGATACAAGTCACTATGGACACAAGCCTTACTGGCTGGGGAGCTCACTGCAGATCTCTCCAGATCCATGCTAATTGGTCATAGAGAGAGAAAAATGCTTCACGTCAGTGAACTAGAACTACTAGCCATCATAAAGGCCCACAAAGCTTTCAGAAACCACCTCTGCAGCAAAATGGTCCAGATAGACACAGACAATACCACGGCAATGTACTGCATCCTCAGGCAGGGCGGTACTCACTCCCCAAGCCTCCTATACTTCACCGTTGACCTGTGGGAGTGGTGCCTCTCTTACCACATTTGTCTCATGGCAGTCCCTGTAGCCAGCCAAGATAACCACCTGGCAGACTTACTCAGCTGCAAAGAACACAAAGCCCACAAATAGAAACTAGACCAAACGGTATTCCTGTCCCACTGTACTCGTTGGGGGACACCCACAATCAACCTGTTTGCATGCAGATCCAGGAAGAACAAAAAATGCAAACACTATTGTTCCTGCACAGGATTCAGCAAGAACTCCCTTGGCAACACCTTTGTCAGACATTGGCCCAAAATGCTGACCTACCTCTTTCCACTGAGGTCATCTGTTTCCAGCAAAACAAACCCAATGCCATTCTCGTAGCCCCGTGGTGGCCATGACAGCCCTGGTTTCTCACTCTCTGCCAACTGTCTTCTGAGATTTATCATCTTCCCCATCTACCTCACCTCCTCACCCAAAACGGGTCAGATCGTCGACCCAGATCTCCCAGTGCTTCATCTTATGGCGCGGAGGATTCTGCCTCCTTGATTACTGTTATTCATCATGCAAAGAAACCCCAGACCAGGAGAGCCTACATGTATAAATGGAAAAAAAATCCAGTCCTTCACTTCCTCAAGAGCACAGTCAGCAATTAACCCATCTCTCTCTAATGTTATACATTTCCTTGTACACCTTAAGTGCATGGGATGTTCTCTCTCATCATTCCAAGTATATCTGTCTGCCATTGTGGCACACCAGCTACCAACCTCTCCAGCCTCTAAATTCTTCAGGCATCTTACTTTCAAGTGTTTTCTCAAAGGGCTAACTCACATATGCCCTGATCCATGCTCTCCTCCACCTCAGTGGTTGTTCACACTAGTCCTTCGACACCTTATAAGGGCCCCTTTTGAGCCCCTGGCATTGACAGACCTCCGTCTCTAACCTTTAAGACCGCATTCCTCATGGCAATCACCTCTGTGCGACGCACCAGTGAGCTTGCAGCTTTGCGGTCTGACTACCCATATCTCCACTTTCACCCTGACAAGATTTGGGTTTTTGTAGATATCTCATTCTGTCCCAAGATTGTCTCCCAGTTCCATTTCTCTCAACCATCAGTTCTTCCATCCTTTTCCCATCTCCGTCCATTCTTCAAGAATGCATCCTTCACAGTTCTTCCATCCTTCTTCCCATCTCCGTCCATTCTTCAAGAATGTATCCTTCATACCCTGGGTGTAAGACGGGCTCTAGCTTTCTATATAGCCTGCACACAACCATTCTGGCATTCAACTAGACTTATTGTCAGCTATCAGCCTCCATCGATAGGTCTCCAAGTCACCTCTCAGTGTATATCCGTGGGTTGCCTCTGCTGTCCAACATGCCTACTAGCTTCCACGCCTTTCCATGCCACAGCCCCTTTGCCCACACTCTACCAGGGCATTGGTGGCATCCACAGCTTTTCTCCAAGGGATTCTCCTTGAGATTTGTCCATCTGCCACATGGTCGCAGCCATCCACATTTATTAATCACTATTGGCTAGACGTTTGCCAGAAGTCCAGTGCAGCTTTTGGACATGCTGTACTCTCTTCTATCTTGATGTGACAATCTTCTCTCGATAAGACGGCTTGTTAGTCACTGAGAGTATGATTCACAGAGGCAACGAAGAAGGAGTTTTTCAAGTGGTCCTCTGTGATTCACACATCATAACCTGGCTTCCTCACTGTCACGCCCTTACTCCTAAACAGAGGTTGACTTAGCTAAAGGGAGAGCCCTGGCGCCAAGGTACAAATACTAGGGGTGAGGGTCTTGTACTAATGTATCTTTTCTGATCAACACCCAGCAGATTTTAGACAGGAGCATGTGTGTGAGTATACATGCAAAAAAAAGCGAGTCTTCATTCTCTGGACTTGGGGGGGGAGTTGTCGCCACCGCCTCGGTTTGGAAGGTTTTGTTTGCGTAGCCAAGCTGATGGCAGCGATGGGACTTGCAGAAGCAGCTGAGGAGGGTAGGAGGTGCTCTTTTTTCCTTTAAATTGTTGCTGTGGTATGTGCTCACTACATTCCATGCTTTTTGGCGAGGTGTGGGCTTGGAACTGATCCCCTGATTTGGAGGTTGTACTATACTAAGCTTTTCTTTTTAAAAAATGACCAAAATATTGCACTGTGTTTCCCTGAAAATAAGACAGGATCTTATATTAATTTTTGCTCCAAAGAATGCTTTAGGGCTTATTTTCAGGGGATGTACAACAATCCACATTTATTCAAATATAGCCACGTCATCTTCTTCTGGTTGCTGCACAATGCTGTACGATGGTGAAGAGCAGGGCTTCACTTAAGTGGGGCCTATTTTGGGGGTAGGGCTTATATTACAAGCATCCTGAAAAATCACACTAAGTCTTATTTTCAGGTTAGGTCTTATTTTCGGGAAAACAGAGTAGCAATAAGAGCAGTTTGATGTGACTTCAAAAATGTTGAGTTGGATTCTGTGAACAGCAGGTCTTCATGTCCTATAAAAACTGCTTTTGAGACTCCACTTAATTTCAAAATCAGCTTGAACCAGATGGTAATGTACCATTCAAAAAACAGAAGTCCAGAGTTCCCTTGAATGTGTGCTTTTGTGTGAGTTTTGTGAACAGAAATGTGCCTTTTTGAATCCTGGTTTCTATACAGCAGTGGGACTAAATGTGACTCATTTAATCTGAGAACTGAAGTTTCTAACAGATGGAAGTCGTAGGGAATAAATATTATTTGACAGAATGTGATATAAAATTTTACAATTGTACTTTGACA